TGAGTCAAAGCAAGGCTTGAAGTTATTTTACCGTATTTATTCACAATCTCTATTCTCTTATTTTTATTTAAATTGCTTTTATTTATTTAATCGCTTTTATTATTTAAATATCTCATTATCAAACCCCCCATTTATTACTTTCACGCCTAGTGTAAACAAATCGAACAAAAGTTTATAATTTTATAAGTCCCTGTGGAATCGACCCTTACTTCTCTATACTGCGAATTTCCTTATTTATTATCCAAGAAGAAGGAATTTTATTTGACATCGAAAACGATAGTTGTCATTTAGATATGTGTGAAGTTTTCTTTATTAATCTTTTTTTTCTTTTCAGCAACAAGAAGATTGGCCATAAACATTGATAGCTTCACTTGGAAGATCGATAGCTTCCAAATCAACATGGGTGACAATTCCTCTTTGGCAAATTAACCAGAAACCTTCAAGGAAGCCTTCGATCGACTTCCTCATCAAGGTCAAATGGTTGGTTCATAGCAGCAAAATCCAACACTTGTTGTTTATCCTTTGTGCGGGGAGTATCCCAATTTACCATAAATTCATTCTTCATTTTACGCATAGCCTGTGTTCACATGGACTCAAAGTCTGGACACTCTGCACCGCTTCATGTGAACAAGGCTGTGTAAAATAAAGAATGGATTTATGATAAATAGCGATGGTTAACATACGAACAATAAGAAATGAGTGTTGGTTCTTGCTGTTACGAATTGGCCATTTGACCTTGATTAGGCAGTCATTCGAAGGCTTCCTCGAAGTTTGCTGGTTAATTTGCCTGATTCTCCAAATAGATAAAAAAATTTAAGAGTTATATTAATTAAAGTGGAATTGTCACCCAATGTTGTTTTGGAAGTTATTGCAAATGTGACAAATGGATATTCTGGAAGTGACATGAAGAACCTCTGTGTGACCGCTGCACATTGCTACATACGAGAGATTTTTGAAAAGAAAAAGGGGAGAGCTTCGACAGTGACTTAAAATAGACCTGCACATCCCTTGTATAGCAGTGTAGACGTTCGTTATTTTTTGATGGATGATTTACAAAACTGGACGATACTAAACCAATAATAAGATATCCACAACGATCAATTAAAAAACCAGTAACCTAATCTTGCCTAATGATGCAAACCAGGCATCAAATCAAGACAACATATTAAGCTGTATGACAAGACATAAAAAACTACTTTTACCAACATTCAACTAATGAAGTGGTACATGTGGTCCAAATTCCAAACAAAGAATCGTTGTCTTCTCAAAGAAAAGTGGAAGGTAGCACCGGCCTAGAAGGGTTTCTGCAGTATGACCACAATTCACGAGATGTAAACTATAAAAGCAAAAAAATAATAATAATAATAATAATAAACAACTAAAATCCCTTAAGTCTACTACTCTATTGCTGCTGAATACTAATTCGTCTGTATTCAACTTTGTTTTATCAATTCCATAAATACTATCCACAAACTTAAATCGGGTATCCCAAATTTAATCTGAGAGTCCAAAGCAGCAAAGACTGACATGATAACAAATAATCGTCATCTTGATAGGTCGTGGTGATATCAAATATAACCCTAAAAAGAAGAATAAATAAAATCAACTGTCAAACGACCGAAAACATGTCATAAAGACAGGAAAAATGTTATAAAGACAGAAAAATACGTGTCATAAAGATAGAATTAATAAAAAAAAGTAAAGATACGTAATAATAAAGCAAATGAAAAATTTTGAATGTGATCGACGATCAATACCAAAATTAATGTTATTACCGATGATAAAGATGAAAAAAAAAGATTAACGACCACTAAAAAAAGAAAATATTAGGACAAATCTTTGAATATAAAATATATAAAAGCAAAACAGTAAATAAAATAAATAAAGTATGGCATATGAAACCGTGATCGTCTAAGATTAGTCACTCAAACATCCTGACACTATTCATTTTCTACACATCACTCCCAAATCCCAGCTTCCCCTCTTACCCAAAAAAAATAAAAAAGAATATATTCTTAAGAAAGTAAATATAAGGGTGCAACTTTAAGACATTATTATTTATTAGAACTTGTTCTACATTTTAGAAAATAAAATCAGTTTTCTCAATATAATATTTATGTTAATTATATTAATACATTACATATGTATGAATTTAGTTTTTAAATTTATAAATTTCGAATTAAAATAAATTATAAAATAAATTTATAAAATATAAGATAAACTAAAATTCTCATATATTTAACATGATAAAATAATTAAAATATAACAATAACCCAACTGATATACATAATATATAAAATCTATGAAAAGCATACTATTAATTATATATATTATAGTAAGATATGAGAACATATTATTAATTATATATAAATATAGTAGGTTTTTGTTTCGACTGTTTTTGGCTGTGGATGCAGACAGATTAGAAGCAGGAGGATCGTGGAATTTCAATTCTCGCATGTTGATTTTAAGCCGAATAAAGGAGGGGGAAGATTTCGGTGCAACTGGATTTCTTACTCGACCTATAACATTTCTAACTCTCAACCTATTTTGTTACCGTTGATATGCTGTTGGACTCATCTTAGAAACAATGATATTATTTTCGGGTGTAAACCGTTATTATTATGATAGTATATTACTTTTTCGGTTACTAATTGTAACATTTTGTGTTTTATTTATTTAATAATAGATCATCACTCAAACCAACCACACCTTTTATTAATCTTATTTTAATAGCAGCACAGCAGAATCATCCCATTTTCAAATTTTTCTCTTCCGATTATCTTTTTTCCTATTCTCTTTGTTATGCTTCTTTTGAATTCTTCCCTCCAGGTAGTTTCTTGAGGATCTTGAGGACGTGAACTTTTGAATTCTTCCCTTCATCTTCTATTATTTACTTTTATTTTTATTTTAAAATTTTATAAAATAGATTAATATTGGATTGAGTTTATTTAATCAATTTACTCCTTTTTAATTTACAATATTTTCATCAATTCCCTTTGATATTGTTATAATAATTATATACATTTCATTCAATATTTGAAATTCAATATCTGAAGTCTTTCGAAAATTTTAGGAAAATCGTATGTTTCTTTTCCTATTTTTCAATGAGGAAGATGAGAAATTATCTACTAGTCTCAACTATGAATTAAAGTGCCCTGGAAACATAATTTTAAAATCGACATGATCCAATAACATATTTGGAGAACAAAAAGAAGAAAATGAAGGGTTCTACACTATAACAAAATTGTTCTACAGTGGTATTTTTAGTGGCTTTTGGGAGTAAACACCACTAATTTTAAATATATTGCGGAGTTTACATAGCAAACGCCATAAAATGGTAACTTTAGCGGTATTTTTAAGAAAAACTCCTCTATAGAATAATATTTTAACGACGTTTTTTATATAAACGCCACAATAAACTCATTCATAGTGACTTTTTTCAACAAATGTGGCAATAGAGTAACACTTTAATGACATTTTTTTTCATTTTTCCCCTTTCACCCATTTTTCAATCCCGCCTTTTACCCAAACCCATCTGCTTCACTACCAAACCCCAAGCCCATCTGCTCCACTTCCATTTTTACGCTATCTTTGATTTTGATTCCCTTATCCACATTTCCCCTAACTTTCAAATCCTCGTTTTTCATTCTGCGAAATTTATCGTTAACATATTCACCAGTCGTTGTTGTTCTTTTTATTTTGATTTTGATTTTGATTTTGATTTCGTGGCTTTGGGTTTTGCTTTGGACTTTGGTTTTATCAGTGCAAGGTCGCCCTTTGCTTTGCTGCTTATTTATCACTGCTATAAATAACGACTCTCCTTGCTCATTTCTTTTTCCATTTCCATTTAGTTTCAAAGAAGGCAGAATCAGGAGAGAAAAATGAAGTACGTGCTTGTTCACCCCCACCGAGTTGGTTATGAGCGCAACTTCTACAATGAGTTCTGCTTAAGCGGTCTCCGTGTCGACAGGGTCGAGCTTGGTTTCGTTTCCTGCACTTTCAAAGTCCCTCCTCGCCTCATCGTAAGCTGTCCCCAAAAAACCCTATCTCAAATTCCCTAGAATTAGAATTCTATCAGATCTGGCTTTATTTCTTTTTGTTGAATAAATTAACTTTGGTAGGATAAAAATAGGAATTTAGTAGCGGGGGCCATTTCGTTTCTAGGAACTCCTTTTCTGTAGTGAGTTGCTTTTAATTTAGTACTGATCGTGTCTTACGATGCATCGAGTGTTTTCAGAAAGTCATTCACATCTGTTAATTATTTCTTGATTTTGGGCGTATTTTATGCTGCTTAAATCGGTTAGCCGATTTGATCATGAATTAAAGTAGCCTGAGTTTTTCACCATCTGAATTTGGACCAATAGAAAGATATGCTAGTTGAAAATTGTAAAGAAGGACGTGAGATCGGGTAATGTGTTTACCAGTTTAGTTTTTCAATTTTATTCATCCTGGGTTTCAAATCTTCCTTGGATTTGAGTTAGGGGGCTTTCGATTGTTGATTTCTATGATCAAATCGAATTGAGTTTCGTAGGTTTTTTGGTTGAGTCAGAATTTGCAGGTCTAAACTTATATCACGCCTCTTGTTTTGAAGCTGAATGAAGAATTGATAGAATATCTTTCCATAATCCTACTGGTTTTTCTATAGTTGGTTCTCTTCACTCGTGTATTATGATCCATTGTAGATTATAATCCCACTGGTCTTTCTTCTTTCACATTAGTTTATCTGTTTGTAAGAGAGTTTGGTTATACTGCTTTTAATACGATCGGAGGCCATTTGCAGGATGAGTTAGAGATTACCTCAATTGCTTTAGGACAAAGAGAAGGTTATGATTGAACAATTGTTCTTGTTAGAAACAAAGCAACAGGGGAGTTAATTGCTGAAGGTCGGCATTCGTTGCTATTATTACCTATTTTCCTTGATCAACTAACTTAATATTTGATGGGACATATCTGAAATCTGGTTATACAAATATTCCCTTAAATTCAATTAGATTTTTTTATCACTGCAGAATATTGATGGTGGTTTTGCTACATATGAGCTGACAAGATCCTATCAGTGGTTGGAGGTAACTGCTTGACACGTATATGGCCTTATAATTTTCCCCTCTTCACATTAAACACACACAAAATATATACACACAGATAGATGAAGATACATATACACAAACATGCAAACACATTATCAATTAAAAGCAAAAAGGTTACTTAGAAAAGAAAGCGCTTCATTTAATTTATTTGAACCAGGGGAAATGAAATTAAAGGAAAACTCTGCTTCTTGAGATGAAATCATTGTTTAGGAAAGATGGAGTTAACATATGTGCAATATATTGTTTGTTTATGGTTTAGCGCTTACGTTACTATTATTAATTATTCTTAGAATAATTTAACCTTTATAATTGTCAAATATTTTTGCATTTTGTAATGTGGCCTGTATAATTGCACTGTTTCACGTTTCTCCCATTTTAAGTTAATCAACCCTGCTGAAACTTTTGGTGACATAGTTATAGTCTATCCGTAAGTTCCTAGCTTACTTCATTTTCTGCATAAGTTATTTTTTTATAATTGATTACATTCTGATTTTATGTTTATGGAGTGGCAACATAGATTTGTTGAATGCACCTCAGCAGCAATTCAGGCACTAGCCTCATTCATGAAATTATATCCTGAACATAGAACAGAAGAAATTCAAAATTGTATTGGTAGAGTTGTTGGGTTTATCGAAAAGATGCAGGCAGAAGATGGCTCCTGGTTTGTTTAGAACTATTCCATAATATATATCCTTTACGTGTTTACTTTGTAATTATTTGTCTTTACAGATTCTGCTACTTCGAGCAATTCTTCAACATGGCAATCTCAGTATCCATTACTGAAGAACTTGCTTTGTGCTGTCATTTTTTGCTAGGTATGGATCCTGGGGCATCTGCTTCAGTTATGCAGGATTCATTTACTTATAAGAAGGAGGTGCAAAGCAAGAAGTTTGATACTTGATTTTAGGAATTTACTAATTTAAATATTGATTCTTTATTCTTATGAATTTATATTAGAATATTTATTTTTCTTAAATATTTTTTTATTTCCTTATTCAATAATCCTAATTTATGGTCACAAAGATTATAAATCCTATAAATATGTAATGTCATATGGTTATTTTTTCTCAAGCGATAAAGTATAACAAAAATCCTTTTGCCAACTGTTTGAAGTATCATCCTATAAATATGAGAATTGCTTGAGGTTTTCAATAAGAATTTACTTAGAGCATTAACAAAAGCTCAAGTACGGACTCATCGTGGCTATTACAGGAACTGATGGCTATGCTGGTTATCTCTCTTACAGTAAGTCTTTTTTCTTTTGATTAAGATTGGTTCATTTGTGGTTTATTGTTATTACAATTTAAATGTGGGTTTTTAATATGATTAAAAATGTATATATTTTTAAAAAAATTTAATTCGTTTTGCAAAGTGTTGGTACGAGGAAGTAGATAAGAAGGCAAAGGCATTGCGGGCTGCTGCAAGTTTTGCTCCTAGTGAAGATGCATCTAGTGAAGATGCATCTGCTGTTGATGTATGTTTGAGTTTGTTTGGAGTTTTATCGTTTTTAAATGAATTTTCTCATTTTAGCTTAGTATTTGAATAATGTTGTTCTAATTGTTCAATCTTTTTTAGTAAAATTACCTTTACAAGAAATTGTTTTAATTGTTTACCATTTAATTATTTGATTTGAATTTTGTAGGAATGATCTTGCGGATGGATTACTGGAAAGGCTTTAAGTAGCAAATTTCTGGTTTCTGGTCTTGAGGACATTCATATATCATGTGTTTTTTAGTGTTGGTATGACTTTTTTTTGTGTTTTAATCAACTGTCCTAAACCTTCTCTTACTTAAGCAGTATTTTGGTGTCTAAACTTATGTAACGTCTAGTGAAGATGTTTCAGTACCCACTGAAGATTTATTTATTTAACTTGGATGTTTGTAAACTTTGATTTTTTATGTTTTTATTTATTCTTAATTAGAATCGTAATAAAATTTAAGATGGTTATTGGATATTATTACAGGTTCAAGTTGGGTAATACAAAATTGAAACAAGATATGTTGAAAATCAGTTTCGATTAGCGGCGTTTTAGGGGAAAACGCTACTAACAGAGTGCATATTTGGCGGCGTTTGTTCTAAAAACAACGCTATAGGTCTGACATTTTTCGGCGTTTGTATCCAAAACGTCGCTATAGATATGTCATTTTTCGGTGTTTGTATTCAAAAACGTCGCTATAGATCTGACCTTTTGCGGCGTTTGTTCCAAAAATGTCACTATAGATCTGACATTTTGCGGCGTTTGTACCAAAAAATGCCGCTATATAACTGGCCTTTTGCGGCGTTTGTTCCAAAATGCCGCTATAGATATGATATTTTGCGGCGTTTGTATCAAAAAATGCCGCTATAGAAATTACCTTTTGCGGCGTTTGTTCTAAAAACGCTGCTATAGATCTCTACCTTTTGCGGCGTTTGTTCCGAAAACGCCGCAATAGATCTTGATTTTTTGCGGCGTTCTTTTGTTCTCAAACGCCGCTAACTTTAACGGCACTGATATGGCAGACGCTTCTTGCAGCGTTTTTCTAATCGCCACAAGTGTTTTTAGCGACGCTTAAAACTCCGCTATATGACTAAAAAAACACCGTTAAAACTCTGTTTTGTTGTAGTGTACGTTATATTTTTTGTGTTCGGAAGATTTTTTTTGATGAAACATATATTATATTCGTGTTTAAGGGGTTAAAATAATTGAATTCAAAATTTTAAGGAAACAATGATGATTATTGGTGATCGGTGGTGAGAGATTTTGACTGGATTCTATGGTTGATAGAGTTTTTTTTAGATTTTCTTAAGAAGATTAAAAATGAATGAAGCAAAAGTTCAAAAATAAATTGATATTTTTATGAAATCCAAGGATTAAATTAGAAATTAACCAATTTTTAATTTATCAAGTCATCAGAACAACGAGAGTTAAAAACTTAATAATTAAACTGTAACAAATCAATAATATAAGTTATTAAAATGTTTTTTTTAATTTAAGTGATTAAAATTAAATAAAATCAAAATAAAAGTGACAATAAAATAGTTTACCTTTAAAAAACTGACGAGATATGAGACAGGGAAGTAAGTATTAGGATTATAAATGATATCAGTCGAGTTCATGTATTATTGAATTTAATTTGACTTAATTCAAAAAATTTAAATCTAAGGTTGATTCGATTTGAAAGCTCACGAGCTTAAATTTGTAAGCTCAACTCTAACTCAAAATTAAAAATTAAATCTCAACTCTAGCATGAACAAAATTTAAAACATTCTCAAACTTAGCTCGATTAAAGTTCTTACTCGAACCTGAATCTTAAGTACATAACAATTTTATATTAAATTTTAAAGGAAAAACAACATATAAATTTTAATGCTACTAAAAAATTAATTTAAAGTTTTAATATTTTTTAAGTTGCTCGTGATTTTTTTGAATTGGGTCTCAAATAACTCAATACAATTTGTTCAAAGTTTGAATTGAGTTTAAACTCGAATCAAGTCAATTTAAATTAAATATTTATTAAATTTTAATTAAATTAAACTCGAATAATTTATAATATATCTCATCTGATTTATAATACTAATAAATATAATTTAAGGAGTAGAAGGAAAGTTCCCAGAAGACTACGGGAAAAAAACAAAACAAAATTGAAAAACCCAAAAGAAAAAAATCCCAGTTCACGAGGGCTGCCCCTTTTTCCTGAAAGTTTTGCCTGTTTTAATTTATTATTATTATTTTATTCAAAACTATTTTTTAATATATTAATTCATAGGGTGTGTTATATTGTTTATGTAATTATGTTTTTTTATTAATTTAAGATGATTATAATATACATATATTTTAATGAATAAAAAAATATTTATTTAACTACTAATATAGCTTATTTCGTGCTCTAGTTATGATGTGTTATCCTAAAAAATTATAGGGTAAAATATATTATTTTTCATTGAACTATACTCTATCTCCTATTTTACTCTCTATAATTTTGATTTTTTTAATTTACTCACTGAATTTTCGAATTGCTCCTGTTTTAATCATTCTAAATTATTTTATTATTTTTTGTATGATATGGCCTTTTTTAATATTATTTAATATAAAATCATTGTAAATTTAAAATAAAAATAGAAGGTGGCCAGATGTCACCGTCGGCCACTGTTGACCGTCGTAGATGGTGACCGTTTGATTCCAAATTTTATGGGTTGTTTCGTCTCAACTCTCTGAGTCCAAATCTGGTGGTTGTTTCACCAGAAAATATCCGAAAGCCCATGAATCTCGACTAAAATGTTTCAACTTCCTTACTTTCAATCTCTAATTTGTGGACTTCGAAGCAAGATTTGCAAAATGGAGGACGAATTCGGACTTAGGGTGTTGAGACGAAGTAACCCATGAAATTTGATATCGAACGACTACATCTACTGCGATTGAAGGTGGTCGACGATGGCGTTTGAACACCTTCTATTTTTATTTTATATTAAATAATAAAAATATCATGTCGTATAAAAATAATAATAAAATAATAAAATAGTTCAGTGAGTAAATTAGAAAAATTGAAAGTACAGTGAGAAAAATAGAAAAGAGAGTATAATTTAGTGAGGAATGGTATAGTTTATCCTTTAAAAAATTTGATCTAGTTATAGGCTGTGTTAGAGCAGTATCATGTGTACTGTTGAGTAACGTAAAATGAATAATGATGATAAGCAAAAAAATTAAATAAATAAATGAATGTTAATTGAGTTTTAATTAAATCAACATGATTCTAAAATATAAGAGTAGATTAATTTAAGTATATTTAAATATACAATAATAATTTATGAATGAATAAGATTTGAATATTTTAAATAAATAAAAATAGATTTTTTTTATTTTTCATTAAAATTTATTTTAAAAATTTATTAAATTATTTTTCAATAATTCGTTAATCTACTAAGATGAAATAATTTAAGTAATGTTAAAGTTTCAAATCTTTACATTGTGAATGAAATAAATTGAGTTGAGAGAGTCGTTCTCATAATGAATCTTTACAGTATTTATTTTGAATTAATGGATTAATACATCAAATACTAGTGGTTAAACAAAAAACTATCACTTGCTCCTTTTCCTAACTCGTCATTTGTTTAATATTATTATTTTCTTAATTTTGATTGGCAAGTGGCGACATCAACTTTGGTGCTGGTTTTCGTTGTCGGTATTTCTTTGGCTTTTTATTTTTCTATCTCACATCTTTAATTTTCTTTTGTTTTTAATAACTTCACATTTGTGACATGTTTTTCTCTAATTTTATGGTATTTTCTCTGTCTTTTGACACGCCTTTTGTTTTCTTTTTTTTATTGTTTTTGTTATTTATTTCCTCATTGTTAGATTTGACGTCACTGTGACTAATTAAGATAGTGCTCATTTGTTATCCTGCTGATCTTCTCTGTTTTAGACCCTCAAATTAGATTTAGATACGCAACATGCGTTTGTAGATAGTTTTCTCACAATGCTTAGTTATGATTTACATTTTTCGGTGATCTTTTAGTAATTTAATCCCTTATTGTGGTTTGTTTTCCATAATAGTCAAATTTGTTCGTATCTACCTTTTGTTCGATTTTTTATGAATGTTTCAGTTTTTCCTTGTATGGTCCTTATATGATT